AGTTCAGTGCCAGGGGTGGGTGAGATCCTGCCAGAGGTGGGTGAGATCCTGCCAGGGGTGGGTGAGATGAGATCCTGCCAGGTCAGAAGCAGCAGCAGCAGAGGGATCTGGTCACGTTTGTGTGTTTTTATCAGTAGATTTCATGTGGTTAGTTTGTTAAATCATTTTCAGAGGAGCAGTTTTGCTGCCAGCCCGTGTCAGCAGGAGGGACACACTTTTCCATCCCCAAGTTTCTGTGGCCTGAGTGGCTCAGACCGTGGAGTTTCTCTTGCATGAAACCAGCGTCTGGTTCCTCTTCCGTCACACCCCGTGGGCGACAGAGAACCCTGAGATGAATTTCTCTGTAGGTTTCCCCTCAGAGACCTATCAACCGACAGCCAAAAACTCCACTGGCCCCTGCAGCCACCTGCAGAGGCTGTGACTGCCCCAGGAGACAGTGACAGGGACTCAGGGGACCCAGCAGGGATGAACCCGACGGGCTCGTTCCAACAGCAGCCCAAAAAAACCCTGTGAGAATGCTGAAGGGAGATCTGGAGGTTCATTTCTGGCTGACAGCTCAAGTCCACGTTCTTTCCTCATGGTTAAAACCCCAAAACTGAATCTCTGGCTGGAGGTGGGTGGATCTGTTGTAGGATCACGTGGGGTGTGGCTGCCAGGGGGTGTTTCTAAATGAAACCTTTAAAAGCTGAGGCTGGGCTGGCTCAGTGTGAGCAGCACAGGCCACACAGGGGGTTTGTAGTTGCTGTGGTTGCATTTCTCCTGCTGGTTTCTCCCCCCGTGGTGTGTGAGGTGCTGCCCCTGTCGCCTCCACCCGCCGGCTCCGGGCGACACCTGCAGAATTTGGGGAAATCTCTTTGTTTTCCTCCCATCCAGGAGCACGTTTCCCTTGGGGGTCTCTGTGCCCCCCTCCTCGCTGCTGCCCCCACGCCAGCCCCGGCCAGAAGGAGCCTCCTGGGGGAGCAGGATGAAGCTGGTGGTGACCAAGGTGCTGTGTCTGCTGGGCATCTGCCTCCTGACGCTGGCCGGGTCCCTGCTCCCCGTCAGGTTCATCCAGGCTGACCAGCAGAAGGTCCATCGCTCCAGGAGGGTCCTTGCCCTCTGCAACTCCTTTGGGGGAGGGGTTTTCCTGGCCACCTGCTTCAACGCCTTGCTGCCTGTCGTGAGGGAAAAGGTAATTAGTGAATAGATAACGAATTAGGTGGATGAACCTGCGCCACTGAGTCTGTTAGGGACCCCTGGGAGGGGGGGGGGGGCCACCCCCCCCCCCCAGGGCCCACCCTCCCCTCCCCTGCCCTGCAGAAGCCCAGGACTCCAGCCCCTGTGGAATTGGGGGGAAGGGTCCATGTCTCACCAGAGGGGCTGTGCCTGGTCACGGGGGTTTGCTGGGTGGAGTAACTGGAGAGGGTTTTGATGCAGGGAGCCTGATGCCATCGAGCCTGGCTCTGAAACCCTTTCAGCCAGCCCCAAACCTTCTGCTGGAAGGGCAGAACTGCAGACAGTTCCCTCTCCACCACGCTGGGACCTGTTCACGGGGGCACTGGAGCCTCACGGGTCAATCCTGTGTCCCTGGAGAGCTGTGTGAGCACAGCAGGGACGTTCCCTGCCAGAGGGAGGGCGGTGGCTGATTCCCTGGGGGTTGTTTGCTCCATTCCAGCTGGATGAAGTTCTCAAGCAGGGGAACGTGCCCCCGGACTACCCAGTGGCCGAGACCATCGTCATGGTCGGCTTCTTCCTCACGGTCTTCGTGGAGCAGCTGGTCTTGAGCTTCCAGAAGGAGAAACCTTCCTTCATCGACCTGGAGACCTTCAACGCGGGCTCGGACGCGGGGAGCGACTCGGAGTACGAGAGCCCCTTCATCTGCCCCGCCCGGGGTGGGGGGCAGGGGCAGCACGGCCCGGGCGGGCAGGACCTCTCCCG